AGGAAACATCTCCTACATAGAAAGCATAGGAATTATGACAAACAAACAGGACTGATTTGTGCAGAAAGTGGCAACATATGGCAAAACCTTTCACTTACCATGAACTGCAAATGCTCTTTAGCTGTGAGGGTTTCAAATATGATGCCCTTTTGGGGAACAAATCCAGATATCCTCGTGAGCAGAGCGCCATCTACTGGATGGCCACAAAGCAGCACTTCCCCAGTCACAGTACCTACAAACAGAATAAAAGTTGCAAGAAGTGAGTATGCTATACAAATTTGAACCAAGTTAATTCAATGTTAGATCACTCATACTGTATTCAAGGCATAAAAAATACTCACCTTTAATTCTACCGCTCACTGCAGCCAAAAGTGAGGTTTTACCACATCCACTGAAAATTGAATCAAGAAAACTTTATACAGGTTCTCTTAAACCCTTCTCTTACCTGTTACCAATACCATTTTATTAATGAAATACAGTGGAACTTTCTTAAAACTTTGCATGCCGTGTAGCGTATTAGAATATCAAATAAGTAAACAAACAACTATTAACACTATAAATAGGCACTATTGCCATACGCATTTCAACCTCAAGAGGTCATTATCAGTGGCATCTGGGAAATCAATTCATTTAACCAAATGGTTCAAACTGGATTTAGAAATAAGTAAGGTGTTTCACAGAAGTTATTTCAAACGATACTGCACTAGTTTTACAATGTTTATACATTTTTCTGGTACCCATTTTACATTCTAATTTTTCTTCTCCATTCTTGTCTGTCTGCCCACAAATCCTCTTTGATATTTCTCTCCTTATATTTATTCCTCTGTGTATCACACCATGAAGGTGCCAATTTCATATATAAGGGAATCATATCAGTGGGTAAGAGGAGTTTGTTACAAATTTTCACTGACAAAGGAATTAAGAGCACACTCAATTTGGAGACTGCTTGTTATCTTGTGGATCAGAAACTACTTTCTTCCTGGCTGCTATACAAAAACACATTGATTGAAATACACAAAACTAAAGTTTTATCTGCCATTTCATATCAGTGTGAAACTTGGTCTTTTACAACAAAAGAAAAACATGGATTACAAGTGTTTGAAATCATAAGGCTGTGAAGCAGAAAATAATTTGGATCTGAGAGGGGCAAAGTGGCAGAGGGCTATAAATAATTGCATAACAAGGAGATTCAGAATTTGTATTCTTCAGCAAAATACCATGGTGATAACTGAATTAAGCCAGATGACATGGATGGAACATATATAATGCATGGAAGAGATGAGAAATACATACAAAACTCTGGTTTGAAAACATCATTTGGAAGACCTAGATACAAATATGATGTTAAAATTAAGATGGGTCTTAAGGAAACAGAGTGGGAGGGTGTGCTGGATTCATCTGGTTCAGGACAGGGATTAGTGGTAGCAGGCTTTTGTAAACACAGTAATACACCTTCAGATTCCAAAAAAGACAGGGAATTTTTTGATTAACTGAGTGACTATTAGCTTCTCAAGAAAAAAATATGTTCTGTGGAGTTAGTTTATTTACTAACAATTATTGTTACCTGGATCCCATAACTGCAACCAGACTTCCACTTTGAACTTTTCCACTCACTGAAAATATAAATGTCTGTTACAATGTACTATAAATATTATTTTTAGGATTGCATGCTAATATACACAGCATAAAATAACATCATTGTCCATTTACTTCCACCAATCACTAAAATGAGATCAAGGAATTCAGTAATTTCTCACTGTAAAAACAACAGCAGATGGAACAATCTATCATTAATATTTCTACTACCTATAGGTACCATACTTTCCTGCCACCCAGACACATTTATCCTATCAATAGCATTCTTTGGAGTGAGTATATTTAGCATCTCAAACATGCCCATAACATCACAATACAGTATGTTAGGTGAAGACAGGATGTCCATTGCAATATATGAGGTTCCCACAGTGGCAAATATAAAGGCAATGAATTCTTCTTGGGCTACCAACCATGCTTTCCTCAGGGTACTGTACACTGAGGATTAGGATAAAGACAGTTCTCAAAATGTTGGTGTTTTCTCCATTAAACCAGCTTACACGGCTGGTAGCCCGAAAAGAATTCATTATACTTAGTCGCTGTGAAAGCTTCAGATCATACAAGTATAAAGATGTTTGTCTTCTGGGTTGTCGCACCATGCGTAGGCTGGCAGACAAGACATTACCCTAATGATGGAGGCACCAAACATCTCTCAAACATCAGTAAACTTCTACCATACTACATGGTGCAAAACAAAATCTTCTCAGGCAATTGGTCATGCCAACTTGTTACACGAAGAGATCAATGTTTTGGGAACCATCTCTGTCCCCATCAACAAAGTTCTGATTTCCAAGATTATAATATTCAGTTTATTCATTGCAAAACCTTCAAATCATATTCATGGTACAAAAACCAGAAGACAGCCTTCTTCATAAAGTCCACTGAATAAATGTTAGGTTATTTAACAATGCTGTTTTCACTAGATAATCATGAACAATGAGTGGATAATCATCTGAAAGGAGGTAGTAAAAACCTATCTGAAGGTGACATTCAAGAATTCACCTGGAGAGACATATCAAAACTGCAACAAATCTGTGTGGATAGCCAAAAATGTGGCTGAAAATTAAAGCCAGCACACCTAATGTTATTGTTACACCAATCAGCACAACAACAATACTGTCCACCCTGTTGCAGGAATGATAATGGTAAAGAGTAAAATATTAAGAGCCGAGTTTGTTTTAACTCACCATTGTCCAGAATGGTCACCTCTTCTGCCTTCTTCCAACTGACAAACTTTCTCAACCATGTTCTAGTTGAATCATGAACAACATTCGTTCTTTTAACCTTAACAGCGACATTCTGCCAAGACAGAGTCAAATTATACTCTTGGTTTCCAAGGAGGGGTGACATCTCCTGCAAAAATTCAGTGATTAATGTGTGACCTGCTAATGAAATAGGATCATAAAAATGTCACTAATGCTGTGATAGCAGAACCTGAAGGTTCAATGCTGTTAATACCCATGCTAACTACTGGACACAATCTTGAGCCAGTTCCATCCACCTCACATCCTTATAACTCACGTCCCTAAGATCTACTTAATGTTATCACCCTATTTCTGAGTCTACTAAGTGGAAATTTTCTAACAGGTTTCCCAACAAATATTCTGTACTCATCTCACACACAAACTACCTACATGCCAAGTCCATCAAGCCTCCTAGCTTTCACTTCCCTACAATACTAGCTACCTACATACATAATGAAGTTCCTTGTTACATAACATACTAATATGTTCACTTACTTCCTCTTTCTTAGGTCTAAGTGTTTCCATGTGCACTCTAGTCTCAAACACTTGTAACCTGTGTTATTCTTTCAGAGTAAGATACTACGTTCCACAACCACACAGCAAAACTGGAAAAATTATTCTTTTGCATACCCTGACAATCAGTGATATGAAACGTAGATAAGACAAGTTTCTGGTCTGAATAATACTTACAGAGTTAATGCATGTTCTAGTTACCAGGAAATTTCAAAACAGTGTCAATGGTTTAAAACATTTTACTTCATTACTGGTATTCATTTGATCATTTTCACATATTTATGATGTAAGAATGCTCCCTGGACATTGCCATTCTCCAGCTTTAGGTAAGAAGACAAGATGTTGGGAAGCCATTATAACAAATGTAGGAATTTTTACTGGGCCAGTAACATCAAAGCAAATGGTATGTTTCATAAATGTTTATTTAACTGCAATATGTTCAAATATTTCTTTCACCAGTTCCTTCTATAATTTAAAAGCATGACTTTTTAATGATGAAACAAACAAGAAAGTTATGTCATAAGATACAGCTGAATGAGGGACACATACAACAGCTCCAAAGAAGGTACAACATTCTGCAAGTATCAGGTCACTTCTATCATATGAGAATAGGGAATTTAAATCTTGTACTATGGAGTTTCAAGTCAAACTTTAGCTCCATAGTTAACACTTTAGAAGAATGCTACTGCAATGCATGTCTAGCCGGCCTGCACATAAACTCAGACTCACAGTCAAAAAAGGTTAAACTACTCCACACAGCCATTTTATGTAATCATGCTCAGACCACGACCAACTGTTATCAGCGACTGATGATTATTGTCTTTCATACGAACTTAACACCTGTTATGTACAAAATTTTCATGCAAAATGAATTTATTCTAATACCTGTACGACACAGAACAAAGGTATTGTAGAATCTGACCTCTTTCCCATATATTACTGGTAAAAATAAAAGAAATTTTGGTGAAAATTAAGCTTTTCACATGATGGACATCAACACTCAAACCATGGAACAACTCAAAATATAAAACTTACTTTAGTTTAAATATTTAAAACATTTAAATGCATATAAATATCACATCAAATTACAACAAGTTTATGCAGATTCAGAAATCAAAATATGTTGAAATATGCTGAGAAAAGGATAATGCCACATGAAGGAAATGAGATAAAAAAATATGCACTGCCCACCAGAACAAACAAATGTTTGTTGTATGACAAAGCTGTAGAAATTCAGGTATGTACTTACAACAAATTTCATAAATGACTCAGACATTTCTATTGGACAGCTGTGTTCCATCCTCTGTAAGAATTCTGAATATGAAGTGTCTTTTGCTGATGGAGATTCAGCAATCAAAATATGAATGTTGAATAATACTGAGATAATGATAAGAATATCACATGAAGGAAATATGATAAAAAATATGGCCTGCCCACCAGAACAAACAAATGTTTGTATTGCATGACAAAGCTCTAGAAATTCAGGTCTGTACTTACAACAAATCTTGTAACGGACTCAGACATTTCTACTGGACAGCTGTGTTCCATCCTTTGTAATTCTGGACATGAGTGTCTCTTGTTGACTGCTTATCACATTGCACAATAATTCTTCAGTAATCCTACATACAGTATCTATCAAAAGCATGTTAATTCCCTTACATACAATTTCAAATTCCCACATTTTACTCCTCTCTTGTAAGGAGTATACATTCATTAGGAGTTCCTTCTCTCTTGGGATGCACAAAGTCCAAAGTACAGACCATCAATCCCTTGAACCCAACACAGATTTCAATGTGTTCCCCATGACATGTCACACTCTGTACCGATCAGAAATTTTATTATAAAACCCCTCAAAAGGTTAAAAAAAACATAAAAGTGTAAACATTTCTTGTTCCATTCAGATGTAAAAACATGGTCTCTCATATTCACAAATGGACAGATTGCTTATCAGAATATGTGAACCTAAGTCAGATGAAGAAATGGGTAAAGGCAGAAAATTACAAGACAAAAAGCTTCACAATTTCTGCTCTTTATTCAGTACTGTTACCCTACTCATCCATTTTCCAATATGATCTTTGAGATTTTGAACCCCTCAGTAATTTTCATTTCCTGATAATACAAACCTGTTGATGACATGGCTAATTAAAAGTAGATATATTACATTATAGGGATTCATATAGTGATTCAATTTAGTTAAGTCTCATTTAAAGCAAAGGTTATAATGGACCAATAATAACCTACATGGCAACTTTCAGTGTAAACTTCCAGCACCAAGTTTTGTCAAAATAAGTGTAACAGTTTTAAAGACAAAGAAATATTGATGGGCAGGCATGATCTTCCTATTATACATTTACTTCATTCAGTCAGTGCAATGAATTTAGTTACTTGGTAATTAAATTGCACATAATATTACTCTACACCAAACACATCTCTGTTCCTTCTAGTTTAGTTTAATATTCTACATAGCTCTTGCAGACAAATGTGCTTACAACTACCATGTAACATACTGAGACTCTTAAATTCCAAAAGCTGATCATACACTGGTCTTGAAGAGAAATTTTAGCACAGTTAGGAGAAAAGTTAAACACAACCATAAACAAAATGGAGCAAATTAAATTCAGAGAATGCTTGCCATCCTTCGGTTCAAAATATTTTGTCAGCAAACCTCCTTTTTCAAACATAAATTACACAAAACCACAATTTCACCTGTTTTCATATGTGTGTGAAAAGTGGTCTCTAACCCTAAAGACAAACACAGATCAAGGGTGCCAAGAATACGTAAACCTAATAGGAATGAAGTATCAGAACCCTGGGTAAATTTGCATACTGAGAAAATTAATAATTTGCACTTTTCATCAGATATTGTTAGAATGATCAAATCAGGGAGAATAAGAAGGGTGAGGCATACAGCACGTACAGACAAGACTGCACACAAAATGTTGGTCAGAAGACCATTAGGGAAGATACTACTTGGAAGACGTAAACCTATATGGAAGGATAATATTAAAATGGCTCTTCAAAACAGGAGGGGGAGAGAGTGGACTAAATTCATTTGGCTCAGGATAGAGCACAGTAATGAAACTTCCATGTCCCATAAAAGGCAGAACATATGAATGAATACCTGAGCAACTATCAGTCTTTCAAGAACTCTGCTGCATGGAGTTAGTCAGCTACTATGAACAAAACTGACAATAAAACACGGATATTGATAAAAAATACTCTTGTAACACTTCATAAAAAGAAATGCCTGAGCATGCTGTGATTCATAGTTCCCATTATATCTATGCTTCATAGTTTAGAATGTCAACATGTCATGTGCACAGTACCTGTATGCTAACAAAAAAAGATAAGAATGATAACAGAAGCATTTACATATGAGCAAACACACTGCAATATACTCAGAACAGTCCTGGCTAGGGTAATGAATTCAAAAATTACTACCAGGGACTTCAAGTAAGATCAATGGTTCAGGAAACAAGAATTATCTACATTAATTTTCAAACAACTAAGTTACTTACTTTACTTAAATGACTCCACTTTAATTCATATTTACTATTTCATTTAAGAGAAACAACAGATTAACTAGTCATGTAAAATATCATATGGAGGAGCATACAGATATAGCTACAAATATTATGCATGAAGAACATGAAGACACTGTAAAATGCTGAGGTTATGTGTTACAGACATATATCTATAATAAAAAGAAATGGGAACTCCAGGGTATGAGCAAAAGGGGTTCTGGCTTAGTTTTCCAGTCTTGGGATGAGCATAAAATTCACAACCTAATCACTTCCAACTCTATCATTCAGCTGCTTCACACAATACGTTCAGACAAATTATGGAATGGTTCCCAGTAAAACAAGTATGCACTAAATACATAAACTGTATAAACATGATTTAGGGCTAAACTAAGCTTATGCTTGTCTACAGATGTGGAGGTATTTGAAGGTAAGAAAGGATCATAAGGACTTCCCAGAATCTTTTCTTTTGCTAAACTGACATTGAGAAAACTTATATTCCAACATGTCACCCCATCCAAGCCACATGTCCAGCCCATTTTAACCTCCTTAACTTAACCTGTAAAAAAAGTAAAGTAAAGCTGTCCCACTACATGCCATGTAGGGGGGGGGGGGGGGGGGCAGAGGAAATAAAGATCCTACTCATTCTTGACCTTGGCATTAGATGGGGGTGAGTGGTTAGCATCACGCCCTGGCCGTAATTTACCCCCAGGAAAGGACCACAGTACCCACTGGATAGGAAGCTGGGTGGGCCCCAGAACCAGTCTGGGCACAGAGGCTAGAGGAAAAATCCTCTGCCCCCATCAGGAATTGAACCCCTGTCATCCAGTCCGTAGCCAGTCACTGTATTGACTGTGCTATGCTGGCTCATTAACCTAACCTCTATAAATCATTAAGTTCCTCATTATGCAATATTCTCTTCATTCCCCAATCTGTCCTTCTCTAATACAAGTATTTTCCTGAGCACTCATTTTCAGACATACTTGTGTTATTTCCTCAAAGAGATTGTGTTTCATGATCACACAAAAAATAGGTACAATTGTTACAAAAATTACTTGTCTCTACGTTCTTGTGGCTACAGTTCAATGTACAACTTTAACTTTTTGAGGATGAGCTGCTTCAGGGTAAACATTCACCCTGAATCCTGAGGTCACTCCCTGTCAGAAATTGCATATGAACATGGGCCTAATTCCCAACAATTATGGATAGAAATTCAAAATGATCATAACAGACATACAATTGTACTTCCAACATCATGAGGTACACCCACGTTTCAGCAGACAGAATGAGCAGTTTCCTGACTCAAGGACTGGCTGTGGTGAATTACAGAATTGGCCAACATGGTCACTCTTCCCTTTTCTGCTAGATTTTCATGTTTGGGGCAACATGAAAAACATGGTGTATAAATGCAAAATAAACAGGTAAGAGAAACTACTTCACCTTATTTCTCACGCTGCAATATGCATAAATGACCCTCATTTTCCTCTTTAGTTTGAGATCATTCTAAATTTCAAATATCCATAGCTACATAATCCTTGAGCATTTGAAACATTTTCATGATATTTCTGACTTGGAATGTCAGAAATCTGATCCTGAAGTTTTGATAAGTCATTGGACACTCTGTATAAGGGTATATGTGTCTAAATGGAATATCCTACCACGCGATTCGCTACACAGCAATTAAATCGAGGTCAGAAGATTTTATAACCTTCCCTATTCGTTTTGTCAAATCTAAGTTCTGGTTTTATGTTTTTCAGTCTCTCACGTCATTATAATCCGAAGAATATTCAATAGCTGAATAAACATCTTCCCAGTGTAATGTATAACCTTATTTATTCTTTAAAGCTGACTATTGCTTGCATCAGCATAAAACTACATATTTCATATTGGGCTACTCTGGCAACGGAGTTTATCTACTGAAAACCGATTTTTTTTATTACCTTACATAATTCAGTTTCTCTGCAAAAAACATCAGAAAAACAGAACTTATATTGCTAAACGTAATCTTCGTTTCAATCACTAATACCGAAACGACTTTATTCCCTCTCACCATTCTGAACTGAGTTCGAATTACTCAACATGTAACATACAACCTTAACCCAAGTTATGGCGATCAAGTCAACACTTTACATAGATAATACCAGCGCTACGTATCTGTACCTGACATAGATAACCTACCGAACACAGATAATACCAATACAAATCACATATACACACACACAGATTAACACCAACGTAAACTGACTGTTATAAGTTGGCAACGTAGACAGTGTATGATGTCACGCATGTATCCTGCTGCCAACAGCGATAGTAAAAGTATTACTGAGCGACCTGGCGGTAACTTAACATTAAGTAACAGTCGCTGCCAAGAGCTCAGTTAGTAAGAACGTTTACTATTATCCAACACTATTACCACCACCACCACCCCCCCTTCCTCAATCATTTGCAGTACATGAATAATTTTATAAACCTGAAGATGACCATTATTTAGCATATTGTGCTATAAAGTTTGTTAGAAATTCACAGGAACATAAAAAAATTTCCAACTAAATATGTGGAATAAGTCATATTTTATGTTCTACAAAAAATTAAGAAAAAATATGCATTTTTAAGCATATGCTGATGATTAAGTCAAGAAGAATGAGATGGGCAGGGCATGTGGCATGTGTGGATAGAGCAAGAGGTAGGCACCGGGTATTGGTTGGGAAGCCTGAGGGGAAGAGACTGCTGGGGAGACCTAGATGCAGATGGGAGGATCTCAGGCAAGATCTATGGGAGATATGACTTGAAGGAGTCTGGATTTTTTGTGGCTCAGGACAGGGACCAGTGATGATCCTTCAGGTTCTGTAAGACATCTAGTTAATTAGGCATTTTTTAAAGACCATCAAACTTTCAGAATTTATATAAGGCAGAGCTAGTGTCTCAGCACCTTGTTCACATACTCCCCAATGTATTATTGAAGTTAGAAGTTAAAACAGAGAATCTACAGCCTGACATCCATACCAAATTTAAGGAAAATCAGTCAGTGGTTTAAAATGTCATTTGGGAGAAGCCAAAATGTCGATGTTGACTTCTGGGTTGTAAAGCTATGTGGACACAGTTTAAGTCAGCCCTAAAAATGAAGGCAGTTTGCTTGTCTGAAATGTTCATACACAAATCAAAACTCATAAAATTATCAACATCTTCACCACTGTAGAATCTCAAATCTGTTATAGTATCTCATGGCAAAAAAATTGGTACCAATGTTGAAGAGAAAATTAATTACATCATGTCATTAAGGAAATTCATAATTTAATATTTCTAACTACATTACAAACATACTTATAAAAATACATTATACATAATGAAATATGGCCACACAGTTCTGAAACGACTAGCAAGTTGCACACTGATGTAAGCCAGGCAAATGTATAAGAAATTACACCATTTATATGCTAAAAATGCACACTGTTTATAACTTTACAGAAATATTCTGCAGTATGCAATCCAGGGGACCAAGTTTTATGTGTGTTCACATTTACATAACTCATTTTTTATTCAAGACAAAGTGACTACTTTCTATTAATTCAACAACGGAGAGGAAAATAAAAATTTATGTGCAGAAAATCCATCTCAAGTACATTATTAGTTCAGGTCATAAAGAATTAGTCACATCTATATTTAGTTGAACTGTTAAATTTTTTTAACAACATTTTAAAAACAGTATGGATATATAACATGCAATTTTGTTGAAGTGGTAATTCAGTTAAATGTGGGATATAAAACATAGTAATGAATTGTATACAGTCTAGCTGATACTAAATTCAAGGTTGACGACACATTCCAATCATTGTCTTAAAACTTGGTCTTACTTTGGTCAAGGCACAAAAGCATAGATCTACAAACATAATGACCAAACTGCAACCACAAAAAAAATCTGAGGGTTCTATTACACTTTCGCTTTGAAATTGATACATAATTTGAAGCAAATACATCAAGAAAACTCCAAGTGTGGATGAATTACTAGAGTAAACATCTAATTAATATATACTTGCATCACATACACATGTTGGATATTTTGTTCTCAAAATTAATTTCATAACATGCAAACAAAGTATTCATTTTTGTTACAATGTTTCCAGCAGTTCACTTTGTGGAAGTTACACAACTGCACATTTCTTGTAAATTTTGCTTCTAATTTTAAATTATCTTCAACATATTTATGGCCCCTATTGCTGGAATGTTTTGCTGCTATTCAAATTACACTACTGACCTCTATCAATAAATTATGATAATTAGTAACTGGCAATATAGCAATCCTAAGATTCTCTCAACACACTCAAGCAGAATGAGTTACAAGTGCTCCATTCTGTTCAAAATTCCACCACTGTCCTGCAGCTCAGGTACAATCGTAACTTGTCACCTTGAGGCACATGAAAGTGTTCCATTGCTTATATCAAGAGCTCTGTCAGCATGAACATGTCTTGCTCTTCTGGTCCCGCTGGTTCTTTCCATCAAGAGCAAATCTCTCCAGATCTTTTGAAGATTCATTATGATTTGTCAACATTTCATTCTGCAGAATCTAAAAAATATGGCAAAAATTAGCAAATGTGACAACTCTGACATCCACAAGCATCAACAACACCCAGCTTTCACCTGAATTCTTATAGTTGTTTGGAAATGTAGCAATACTGTACCAACTGCAGACAGTGATTCTTGGTTTACTTAATATAATTTCAACTATATAATTACTCATATTCAAATAGCAAGATGACTGAATAATGAATTGGGAAGTTGTTCAAATGGAAACTGCTGTGGCCTGTCATTTTACTGAAGGAAGTGAGGAAAGCCATAAAGTCTTTGCCACAATAAATATCCAAGTTTAGATTGTGATCTTAAACACACACAAAAAAATTATTTAGCATCAAATATGATGATTCACTAAAGGTGTGTGGCAATGGATGAAATCAAACCCAGGACCTTTTGAAAACTAAGCTAATCTTCTAACAACCCTGGTGGTCTAGTAGTTAGTGACAGATGTCACTAATATTAAAAGAGGATAATTGAAACTGTCAGTATAATGACAACCAGTCACCTGAAGATGGAAGTAGAGCCAATTCCTGAAATGTCTTATACATCAGATACATTTCAGATGAATGGACAATGTCCAACAGTGGCATGGACCTGGGCCTAAGGACGAGTGCCAGTCCTGCCCTTGCTCCACAAGAGTATAAAGACTCTGAATTTAGGAGAGATTTTGCTGTTGTGAATGAAGTTCACAACCTGGACCAATGAGTAGTAATGGTTGTTGCTACTTTGAGTTAACAGTGAGGACTGACAGTTCAGTTTTAATTTTGTGCCACCTGAGCGATCTGTGGTTCTAAGCACCAAGAATAATCACCTGTAATTTTAATTGTAATAGCACAGAATATATCTAGCTTGAAGTGAACCCATGAAACCAGTGAAATTCTTACAAGAATATTCCTGTATCAGATATGACAACAGAATGGTTATGAACAACGAAATGGAAAAGACTGAAAGGATGTCACTGTAGCCTGTTTCAAGGTTTGGTCCCAGCATCCACCTTGAATGACTAACAAAACATCAAAATACATCGACTCAAACAAACAGTGCTTCAGCCAAGTACAAACCATACATCCAAAAAAAAAACATTATACACAAGTAAAGCTGTTGAAATTTCTTTACATACATTACAGAAC